TGGCTTCACAGTCTGAGACCTGAGGTGGAAGACAAAGGAAGGACCATTGTAGCCTGGGTACCATCCGGATTTTCGCTACGCAATTTTTTGAGCGTTGCGTAGCGAAAATCCGGATGGTACCCAGGCTAGGACCATTGGTTTCTGGACGATTTAGGCCAGTTTGTCTGTTGATCAACTCTCTCTCGAGAACCATCAACAAGGTCAGGCCATGCCCTGACTTAAAAGTCTGTGCTTTCCCGTGCTGCCCACTCCTAGACCCTACCATCAGACATGTCAGATGGATAAGCACATTTTCATGGTGGCTCTCTCAGCTAACAGGGAACAGAGCTGGGCTGAATGACCCAACCCCATGGGGTGTCCCAGCTATTCTTCATGTGCTAAATAGGAGCAGGTGGGATGGACACTGTGGATCCTCTTTCCACCACTTTTGATGCCCCTCCCCCTGGGGAATGACCAGTAGTGACACACAGGCTGGGTGTGGGTACATGCTCAGTTTGAAACTTTTTTTTGGCCCGTTTTGTACTGGCAGTGCTGTATAAATCTTTGGGGAAAGACTGTGTGAGGGTCTAAGGTAAAATGCCCTTGGGGGCATGTTGGCCCTGGAGTCAGGAGCTGGCCTTGTAGCCCCTCGAAGAAGTCTGGCATCCAGGCTACTATACAATGTACGTGTATCTTTGATTTTCACAGGTCTCTATTTTAACCTCCGTGATATTTAACTCTAAAAAGTTATAGTGTGGTATAGTTGTACATATAGTGAGGTGCGTGTGGAATCAATTTTCTGGCATCCCTTTTCTATTTGGCCCAATAACCTTCATTGTCTAACAACTGAATATTGAAAAATATCAACTCTAATAGCTAGTTACCTCAATATAAACTCATCCTGAAGCACCATGTAACTTAACACACATGTGAGAATATGTCCCTATGACCTGTAGTAGCTGACAAGGTGGTAATAAGGGCACTTCTTTAGACTGTGTAAAGGTTACCAAATATCAGGAGTTTTAATGGTCATCTACAAAATGTATGTGTCAAATTTTCGACTGGCAGTATTATATTAGGGAATGATATATGATCTCAAGAAAACCACATGGCAGTATTACTGGTACAATATATATATGAAGATAGTGTTGCATTGTACCCTGTATGCATACATTGCAGTTTTACAAACACGATGCTAAAGAGAGATAGATCGAAGCCTCTTTAAAATTCAGTAGATCTACATTCAAGTCATCACCACCCTGCCTACCATGCATCATAACATGTGTGAAGCCAATCTGGATTTCACAGTAGATTGTCTGGTCAAAGGTCATACCTGTAGGGAGGCATTTTTGACACCTGATATCCCTCTCAAGGAGGATTTGTGTCTGAGATGAGAAATTAATGAGGCAGCCAAGAAGTGGAGAAGCTGTAGATGTTTCTTTTATGGTTCTGGATATGATGTTGATGTTAGATTTAGAAATCTAAGTAAAGTAGGTATTTGGTGATCTGCAGAGCAATTCTCAGCACATTGTAATTCTAAACATTCCTTCTTTCTTTCTAGTCATTCTAATCTGGTCATTGATTAAAGCATTAGACTCAAGTTTGGAAGCCATATATATTGCCTGGCATGAGATGATCAACTGTTATTACTGTCAGCTAAAACACAGCTTGTTCTCTACTTCATGCCACAGGGGGGAGGGGTGATCATGGCCATGCCAGTGATGGTAACAGGATTTGTCCTGCAAAATTAGAACCAGGAAAGTTCCCACCATAGAGGTACACAAACTGGTGCTAAAATACCCCAGTAGGAGACCAATCACATAGCTAGGGGCTTTGACAGAATCAGTTAAATCTGTTGCTTCCTCTACAAAATGAAAAGACGAAGAGGGTTAGGCCTGGGATACCTGGAAAGGGTCAGGGACGCCCTCCAAGCAGAAGTTGCAAAGTCATTACATTCTCCTAGCTGTAACAAAAATAGGTACATGTAGCTAGGAGAATGTAAAGATTTTGTCTCCCAGTATCTACTTGGAGATAAGGGCTAATCAGGATCAAGGAGCCGGGCTACAGATGAGGTTTTCACATGGTGTTCTACCCCTACATGTATAATGTCTTTTTGAGAAACAACATCCATGATTATAATAAGAAATAATAGATGCTGCGAGAGCACAACCTGAAATAAGGAAGAGCATTTTTTAGGAATCACAGCATGACAGTTACTAGTGTCTGTCATGTCTGTTGAACACAGGGACCACACACTGTGTTACTTTGCCTAGTAGCAAACATGGCAATAATCATCTTAATTCATCTCATCTCAAGTGTAATCTGTTCCCAGTACACATTGTCATCTACATTGTACAATCTAGAAAAAGTGAGATGAATATCTTAGATGATGATTGCCCCCACACATAGTACTACTTACATGGGGGCCAGTATGCCCTTTTCCGTAATGTAATCAGGCCTTTTAAGTCTTCGTAATCCGTAGGCAGCCTCCCAAAAAATCAACGTAATTCATAATAGTACATTAGCCACAAAGCGTAGAGTTTTAATGAGCTCTGAAACTTTAACGTAATTCGTAATCGGCGGCAAAAAATTTTACATAATTCGTAATCACTATCTCCCCATGCAGGCCCTCTTACATACATGTATGTACTACTAATGCACTTTTCCTATACACAGTTTCCAGCTAGTTACTCATCAGAAGATTCTAAAGCATACATACGCAGGCAATCTACATTTGTAATTGAAACTGACCTGTGGGTTAACCCTGGTGTGTGCTAATACTAACCTGGACGGGCGGTCAGTACTATGAGCATTGGTGGAGATGCTACTGAGCCTACTATGGTCTGGCTACCAGGCTAATGCTTACTAAATTGGATGGCACCCAGGCTAACCATCTCTACACAAAAAGTTTTTTCCTTCAATTTTGTCATGTTGAAAGGCCATCTTATGTTGTTGGTCCTCGGGTATTGTGTATCAGGATGGCCCTCTGGAAAAGTCTGGTACCCAGGTAACACATTGTGATCGCTGCAGATTAGATGGAACAGATCAAACAAGCATGTCCAATGGGATCTGAGGATTGCAAGAATTAATTACAGGATTTACTTTTCCTATCGTTGAAGAGATTCATTTGTCACGTATAGATACAGTTCCTAGTGAATTCTTTCATCAGTGACAACTTTGGAAGGATAAGGATACTAACCTCCAAATTTTCGATGGCTATCAGTCCATCTTGTTCACGGAGTGGCCTAATCTTACTTTTCCTAATCTTCCCAATGTTATTGTTATTTCAAGGTTTGTTGTAAAGGTCTTCATGGTGTTTGATCAAAGGAAACAAACATTATAAACCTCTATATGTAAATGCCTATACTAGTAATACCCTAGACATGTACATGCCATTTTCAACTGTTAGTCCCAAATGCATTGATAATACTCACTCACTCACTCACTCACTCACTCACTCACTCACTCACTCACTCACTCACTCACTCACTCACTCACTCACTCACTCACTCACTCACTCACTCACTTACTAC